GGCTAGTCCCTGGCCCAAGGAGCTTACAAGTCTAACCAGCCACCAACAGCAGGGCCCCAATGTATACAACAGGCCCAAGTCACAAACCTTAACCAGAGCAGAGGTTTTAAAAACAGGTATTATCTGTCTTGTTATACTCCGTTCCTTGGGAATTGGGAAAACTACCAGTGCTGTAACATCTGTGACTGGGGGAAATTTTTGTAATGTTTTGTATGAAACTTGTGCATGCCTCAGTTTCCCCTATATGGTGCCTAGTTAACTGGGTGGTGGGAAAAGGTTGTTTACTCTTTGTAGCAACCCAGAGATACAGGCGAGACTGACCCCTGGCTGACTGGGGCCTGGAGCCCATGCCCATGAAGAGCTCGAAAAAGACCATGTGGCCACTCCAATTGCCCAGATGTTTGGTACCTAGCAACTAATGACCATGGAGGGCGACTTCTCCACAGGAAGCCAGCTGGGTGTGACCTGCTGGAGAACAAAGGGCTAATGAGGAGGGCTAGGTGATGAGGTTTGCCCTGGAACAAGAACAAAGGACAGAGGAGGGATCAGATGGGCTTGTGTGTTGGGCTGCTAGAAGTGGGAGAGAATTCTCTGGACTGGGATTCAAGAGCGGGGTCTGAGAGGGCTCTGGGCTCAGGACTCACCCAGATGGACTTTGCTGTAACCTTTCATTCTCTATTAACTGAGGATGTTCTATGCTGTGTTCTAGACATCTAATAAACCCTTCTGTTCGTACAACGCCAGCTGAGAGTCGATCCAGATTAAGGAAGTTGGGGGTGCGTGGCTCCCTGTGGGTGTCCAATCCAGGTGGATTTGCTGAGGGGAGCTCACGGCATGACGCAGGGGTGCTGAAGACTCCAAAGTTCGGTCCCAGGAGGCGGTGAAGCCAAGGGGCGAGAGAGTGTGCCCTAAGGGGGTTGACACACTGAGGGGGGCCCTCCCGGGGACTGTTCCAGAGCTGTGCGAGAGCACATCATCTGTGGATCCGTGACAACATCGAAGTGCAGTTCTGCTGTCAGATGCAACTGCAAAATGGCATCGATTCCAAGGTCAGAAAGGGCATGGCCTCCTGTATAACAAGCCATGGAATTTCCCTGAAACAATTCCTGTTGGTAATGGGGCATGATCTCTGCTCATATCTGCTGCTTCACTGATTGGCTCAAATAAGCTCGTTTCACGAGGAAAAAGACTTTTCCTGAGTAACAGCCTTGAGGTCAGAGAGTCACATTGGGCTCGTTCTGGTTTGGGCATCATCATCAGCAATACCACTGCTGTGATCTGTGCTTAGTTAATAGTTCTGTTGCTGATGCATGAGCCACAGCAGAATTAGTCTCCTTCTTTCCCAGCCCTGGGCTCTGCTAAAAGGAGTAAAACGTAGGGAAAATATTTTTGTCACTCCAGTCAGCAGATCTGACTCTGATACACACAGTGAGCAGGTCTGATGAGTAAGGAAGGACGACCCACCTGACCAAGAGGGGAGGAGCATTTTCACCAACCTAGTGAGGAGGGCTTTAAACTAGGTTCAAAGGGGGCATGTGACAAAAGTCCAAAGATAAACATAAAAAAGGTGACCTTAACAGAGGGCTAGATGGTTGGGGGGGGGG